GCACACGTTTGATTAATTATCGTTGTTTAAATTTGTAATTCATAAACTTTGTCCTAAGACCCATTTCATTGTTATTTGAACTTATGGTGGATAGCCTGTGCACTCAATCATGTATAGGTTGAGTGTGGCGGTGATGCACCTGTTTTTCCCTTAAAGACTTCCGCTGTATTCTAAATATGTTTAATAATAAAGATGGTTTCATTTAAAAATGTGATTTTATTTGGGTGGAAAAAATGGGGGTGTTACAAGTTAGTATCAGAGAACTTAGGTTCTCCGAAGGGATTAGAACACGAGGTAATAGGTCGTACGGAGAAGTTCTGTCACCAAGACGATAACAGTCTAAGCTAGTTGGTTCTTAATTGAGCCTTGCGCTCGTCCAACTAACTGGGAATTTCTCCTTGTGTTGAAACTTCGTCGTTCGAAATCCTTGAAGGAAACTTTTGAAATTGTACCTCCAAATGGGAAATTTTCAAATATTTTTTTAAACTAGAAGAAATAATATAGCTAGGAAATGGCCTATTAGGAACGTGGAGAGGACCTTGTGAGTAATTCTTTTCGTTGCATGTATGTGATCATTGTGCTAATTGTGGGCCCATATGAGAAATGGGAACCCTAAATGTTGAAAGGAATGCCTCATAAGGCAAAATTCCAAAGTGGCCAAGGTATGTACAAACATTATGTGCAAAAGTGGTGTTATGTGAACTGTGAATCCTGTGTATAATAGTATGGTACGATTTTCATATTATCATGTTGTATAGCCTATGGAATCCTTAGTTGAAATAGGATCCTTAAGAGAAAAATAGGGAAATTATTACACGAATATATTGTGTTATTAAGAAGAGAGCCTGATAATACACCCACCAATGCTGAGCTGGCACAAAGCGTCCAACAACTGGCGCAGTTCATGCACACATTGGGTGCTACTGTACTCCAGAATCACCAAAATCAGAACAATGGAAATGATGCTGCTAAACGAGTAGCATCTCGCAACCCACCGAGTTTTCATGGGCAAGAAGATCCTCGTATCCTCGAGGATTGGATCCGACTCTTTGACAAACTCTTTGACGCGGTGAACTGTCCAGAAGAGCAAAAAGTTGACATTGCTGTTTATTACTTACAAAAAGAGGGGGATAACTGGTGGGTCTCATCAGGCCCAGCTCTACGACAACAACCCAATTTCAATTGGGAAGCTTTCAAGATTGCCATGAGGAAACGTTTTTATCCTGCACACGTCCAGGCCACCATGCATGAGGAATTCATACATTTGAAACAACTGGACATGAGTGTCTAGGAATATCACACTAAATTCCTGGACCTCGCGCCATTTGCAAAGACAATAGTGCCTGATGAGAGCACCAAAATCGAGAAGTTTATTCGTGGATTAAACTTTGATACACAAAAAACCGTCACTGTTTTGGGTTGCCAAACTCCGACGGATGCCTATGATAGAGCTGCAGTTCACTATCGTGTTCAGCAGTTACAAAGAGAGAGAAACCAGAAAATGAAGAGGTACGGAGATGAGGAGAGAGGTCGGGGAGAAAAGAGGTTTAGGGCGAACCCACCTGCACAACAACAAGAACGGAGGGAGAGGAGAGATGACCAAAGCGGAAGAAATTTCCTTGGTCAAAACCAGCAAAACGATCGGAGAGCTGCTCCTAGAGATAGGCACTTCTACTGCAAGAAGTGCGGGAGAGATCACCCTGCGGTTAACTGCGATGGGAGCCTAACCAAATGTTTCAATTGCGGGAAGCTAAGGCACCGATCCTTCGAGTGTCTGTCAAAGACCAATGGGGCACCATTGAACCAGGTGCAATATCATGATGGAAACCGAACCAGGCTTAATGGCGGGCAAAACAACAACAATGTCGTCGCCATCAACAACAACCGCAACCCTCGAGGAGGAGGGGAGAATAATCACGGTCACGGTAATGGAGATAACCAAGGAAATGGCGGGAACAATGGCAATGGCGGAAATAACGGCAACCGTCCGAACCAAGGGCGAATCATGGTAATGAACCAAGCCCAAGCCAATGCCAATGATGTGGTCTCAGGTACATTCCTTGTAAATTCTGAGTCTGCTTATGTTCTATTTGATTCCGGTGCTTCTCACAGTTTCATATCTTCTAATTTCGTTAAGAGATTAAAGATTGAACCAACAGCTAGAATAGACTTGAATGTAAGAACTGCCTCAGATAAAATTGTAACTTGTGGAAATGTATATTCCAACATTTCCGTACTCATATGTGAGTCCAACCTACCCGGAGACTTAATCCAATTTGACTTAGAAGATATAGATGTAGTACTGGGCATGGACTGGTTGGGGAAGTACAAAGCTAGGATTCTATGTGATGAACAGAAGGTGATCTTGAAGGGTCAAAATGGGAAGAGAATGTCTTACAAAGCAATCACAACCAAGCCCAGTTTGAAGCTGATGACTATGCAACAATTACGACAACATATTCGAAAGGGGTATGAAACCTACTTGTGTTTGATGAAAGAGGTGAATATAGAAGAGCCAAACATTAACCAAATTGCTGTAGTCAACGAATTTCCGGACGTATTTCCGGAAGAGATTCCGGGAATGCCGCCCGAGAGAGAAGTTGAATTCTCAATTGAGTTGATGCCCGGAACTGCACCAATTTCAAAAGCACCTTACCGGATGGCACCAAAAGAAATGAAAGAGCTGAAGGAGCAACTGGAGGAGCTATTAGAGAAGGGTTACATAAGGCCGAGTGTCTCACCTTGGGGCGCTCCGGTCTTATTTGTCAAAAAGAAAGATGGGAGTCTAAGGCTATGTATCGATTACCGGGAGTTGAATCAAGCAACTATCAAGAACAAATATCCATTACCCCGGATTGATGACTTGTTTGATCAATTAAAAGGGGCTAGCACGTTCTCTAAGATAGACTTGCGCTCTGGCTACCATCAAGTGAGAATAGCCGAGAAAGATGTACCAAAGACAGCATTCCGCACGAGGTATGGACATTATGAGTTCACTGTGATGCCGTTTGGTTTAACTAATGCACCGGCGGTATTCATGGATCTAATGAACCGTGTATTCCGACCTTACCTTGATACCTTTGTAGTGGTATTCATTGATGATATCCTCGTATTTTCAAAAACCCCGGAGGATCACGAGAAACACTTGAGACTCACATTGCAAACTTTGAGAGAGAACCAGTTGTATGCCAAACTCTCAAAGTGCAACTTCTGGCAGGATCGGGTAGCGTTCTTGGGTCACATTATCACCCAAGAGGGCGTATCCGTAGATCCATCCAAGATTAAGGCGGTGATTGAGTGGCGTGCACCTACCTCGGTCACAGATGTAAGAAGTTTCTTAGGTTTAGCCGGTTACTATCGGAGATTTGTTAAAGATTTCTCCAAGATAGCAAGACCGTTAACCAACCTGACGAAGAAGACAACCAAGTTCTATTGGGATGAAGATTGTGAAGCGGCATTTCAAGAGTTGAAGAAAAGACTCACAACCGCGCCGGTCTTGACATTACCGTCAGGGACAGAGGGGTTCGATATCTATAGTGATGCATCTAAGAAGGGGTTGGGGTGTGTGCTTATGCAGAATAGGAAAGTGGTGGCTTATGCATCAAGACAATTGAAGGTGCATGAAGTTAACTATCCTACTCATGACTTGGAGTTAGCTGCAGTAGTGTTTGCACTGAAAATCTGGAGACATTACCTATACGAAGCACAATGTAAGATATACACTGACCACAAAAGCTTGAAGTACATATTCACTCAAAAAGAGCTTAACATGAGGCAAAGAAGATGGCTCGAACTTCTAAGTGATTACGACCTGGAAATCCAATACCATGAGGGAAAAGCTAATGTGGTGGCAGATGCTCTGAGCCGGAAATCTGAGCACTCATGCCGAGCAACATGGATATTACCAGAAGAACTGTTCCGAGACTTTCAAAGATTGAACTTGGAAGTAAAACAATATGGCGAAGTAGATAGTGAAATACAGTTATGTACTATGACCGTTACACCATCTATCTTCGAGGAGATCAAGAATGGGCAACCGGGAGATGTGAAGCTCGAGAGAATCAAGGAAAGAATGAAAGATGGGGTCAATGGACCATTCAGGACACATGAAGATGGGAGCATCCGATACAAGGGAAGGTGGTGTGTTCCTCTGAAGTGTGCAGATATTAAAAGACAAATCATGGAGGAGGGACACAACACTCCCTACTCAGTACATCCCGGGGGAGACAAACTATACAAAGACCTCAAAAAGAACTTTTGGTGGCCGGGAATGAAGAGAGAAGTAGCTGAATTCGTATCCCGATGTTTGAATTGCCAAAAAGTCAAAGCAGAGAGATGTAAGCCCAAGGGACTTGTGCAACCCTTGGAAGTACCTAAATGAAAGTGGGATTCCATCTCGATGGATTTTGTTGGAGGGTTACCCTTAACTAAATCCGGAAGAGATAAGATTTGGGTAATCGTTGACCGATTAACCAAAACTGCAAGATTTATTCCCATGAATGAAACTTGGAGCATGGACAAGCTGGCCAAAGCCTATGTCAAATACGTGGTCAAACACCACGGAGTACCTCAAGACATCATATCGGATCGAGATTCACGATTCTTATCTCAATTCTGGAAGGAATTACAAACGGCTATGGGGACAAAATTGAAGTTAAGTACTGCTTTTCATCCAACCACGGATGGGCAGACCGAAAGAACAATCCAAACGTTAGAAGACATGTTGAGGGCATGTGTTCTTGATTTGCAAGGATCATGGGATGAGCACCTAGACTTAATAGAGTTTTCGTACAATAACAGTTACCATGCTAGCATCGGAATGGCCCCGTATGAAGCTCTATATGGTCAAAAGTGTAGAAGTCCCTTATGTTGGGGTGACATTGTCGATCAGGTGGTTCTAGGACCACAATACTTGCAAGATACCATAGAGAAAGTCAAAGTCATCCAAGAGAGGATGAAGGCTGCCCAAGACTGACAGAAATCATATGCCGATCTAGGGAGGAAGCCAGCTGAATTCGAGATAGGGGAGAAAGTTCTACTCAAAGTCTCTCCTACAAGGGGAGTAATGAGGTTCGGGAAGAAAGGGAAACTAAGCCCGAGGTTCATCGGACCCTACGACATCCTAGAGAAGGTGGGAAAAGTGGCATATCGATTAGCTCTACCCACAGAGTTGGATAAGGTAACAAACGATTTTAAAACAAGATACTTTTCAACGATTAGATTTCATCCTTAACATACAGAGTTGTGCTAGGTACATAACGTCTTTCACGTATCACAATTAAAGAAGTACGTTCGAGATGAGTCACATATCATCAATCCTGAGGTAAGAGACCCTAAACTTAACATGAACCAAAGTAAACTGGAAATAATATAAGTTAACCCTTATATTATTAGGTGATTGAAATGGATGAGGCGTTATCCTACGAAGAAAAACCCGTAGAGATCCTTGATACTAAAACCCGAGAGACGAGGAAGAAGAAAGTTAAGATGGTAAAAGTACTTTGGTCAAACCATTTGACCGAGAATGCAACATGGGAGACAGAAGAGGATATGCGTAAACGGTATCCTGAACTGTTCAACTAAGGTAAATATTGGGTTACGAGGACGTAACCTTTCTTTTAGGGGGGCAGGATGTAACATCTTATAAACACTTAATACTTCATCTTCATACTTAATTCTCGTCTTAGTTTATGCTTCGAGGACGAAGCATTCTTTAAGGAGGGTAGAATGTGATACCTTGAAAATTTGAAATAAAAATAAATAAATAAATAAATCAGATAAGTTATATCTGATAAATCAAATGAAAGTAATATAAAAATATTTTTTATTATACTTGGTGTATAAAAATATATGCATGCTACATGCAATAAAATTAAACACTTATGTGGCATCGAAAAAATAAAATAAAAAATAAAATAGAAAAAAATCAGATAAAATATAGATGACGGAATATATAAATAAATAAATAAATAAAAATAGTAAGAATATTAAAAATTACTAATAATAGCATCAAATTAATAAATGAAAATATCAGATCATAAAACAATGACACATGCTAGGATCACCTACCAAATAACGTATATACATTATATACATATTTTTACATATATAATTATATATATTTATATGTAAAAATTAAAATAAAATAAAATAAAATAAAATTAAACATCAGCATAAATGGGAATCAAATAATGAATCAATACACATGCCATGTTCATCAACTACCAACCTATCATATACATTATTATTATTATTATTATTATTATTATTATTATTATTATTATTATTATTATTATTATTATTATTATTATTATTCATACAATTATCAAATAAATAAAATAAACCATAAGGACCATCTAGACCTATAAATACACCCTCTTAGCCATCCCAAACACTGCAAATCGGAGAGATAGAAGCTATATATATATACATATACATATATATACATAATCTCGCCGGAAAATTTATATCTATATTATTTTACGTATCAAACTTCGTAAAAACGATAGAGGAGGGTCGTGAGAGGTCTAGGAATACTCCCCAATAAATTCCAGACCGATTCGTAGTCACCGGAGCATCCTAGAGCTCGTCGGAGTTACAAGTCGTGGAAGCGGGTCTTCAGCAAAAGCGGATATTTTGCCGTAGATAGGGGTGGCGGAGCTTTGTCTTGCCGTCAGGATCATTTTGCAACTTGAATCGTTGAAATCCGTTACCTGTAAGTCAAGTTATAGCTCGCCGAAGTTTTTGTAATTCCGGTCGCCGGAAACCCGACCTGGAGAAGAGCTGGGAAGAAGACAACCCAGTCTTCTTGGGCCGGGTCGTGTATTTGGGCCGGTTCGGCCCAGTTTCAATAAAAATTAAAAATAAAATAGTAAATGAAATAAATAAAATCTGGAAAAAATATAAATTAAATACCTAGTATACATATACATATTCGGACCAACCAGAATTGAAAGATAATATTTTTAGCTATTTTTAATTGATTTAATTGTAATTGGGCCAATTTGTACATATTTAGTAAATAATTAACTAAATGACGAAATAAATTACGAAATAATTATTGGAGTAAACTAGATTAAATATATGACTAACTAGGACATTTGGGACCATTTGTAATTAATAAAAATTATGATTAGTATATTTAATTGTAATTAAACCGGTTAATAGAGATATGGAATTAAATGAATAAATAAGGGAAATAATTCTAAAATAAATATCTGGACAACCTAGGTCAAATATAGACACCAAATATAGTTATGAACTATTATAAATTTATAAAGTCGATTATTAAGCTATTTAATTTAATTGGGCCATATAAAACTAGTTAAGTAATTAAATAAGAAAATTGATTAATAATGGTGAAATAAATAAAATCACTAAGATGGGAAATAATATTATGGACTAAAAATGAGGTTTGGAATAAAATAAAGAAAAGAAAATAAAGTTGGGATAGCTAGTATAAATGAATGACTATATTTGGACTTAATAAATAAATCATTTAATTAGTGGACTAATTAAATTAGTGTGATTAAATTAATAATTATCATCCTTAATTGTTACTTTTTGGACTCCACATAAATTATTAAACTATATGAACTCATAAAAATTAGTTGATTAATACAAACTAATTAATTAAGTAATATGTACTTGATAATTTAGTTAATCGACTCCATTAGACTAGTTTAACGAAATCAATTAGTTTAATGGATAAATTAATTAAATTATGGACGTATTAATATTTTTGGACTTTATATTAAAAATATAAAATTAAAACGAAATTAGAATTTGATTGATTGCCTTAATTGAATTAGATTAATGTAGTTAACTATATATATATAATTAAACTTATTTAGTTGATGAAATTAATTAAATTAATTTAGTTAGCCAAATAAATAAACTGGAGGATTGAATTAGTTATGGTAATTGGATTAGTTAGTATAAATAAACTATTAAACTAATTAAAGTTATTATTGAGAATAGATTATCATTAATGATTAATATTTTGAATTATTGCTTACGGAAAATTATTATTCAAAGGTTTATTAAATAAATTATATAAATTATGTAAACTGAAATTGAACTGAAATTGATTATTTAAATTCGAAATATTGAAACTATTATGTAATTAATTTAATTAGACTAGTTAACTAATTAACCAAATAAGTTAAAGTAAATTATGGAGGGGATTAGTATGATTAAAGAAAATAATAAGGTTGGATTGAAAAATTAACATGTAAATAAGATTTATGGATCTAACTTAAAAGTTGTATTTAAAGAAGGAACAATGAAGTTAAAATAACTAAAGGTTGAATAAATAGGAAATAACAAAAATAATAGAATAGTTATTGATTTAGAATTTTGATATATATTAGAAGGAGAATTCAAGTGAAGACCAAGCTAGAGATTTTATTAAGAGGATTATCGCAATTTAAGGTAAGTTCTATGTCAACCAAAAATGTTTTATCTCGTATTTATATGTATGCAATATTTGAACTATGTGGACTATTTATGAATTGGAAACTATTTGTTTGACATGGAATGAATATTTTGAATGTATGGATATTGGTGGATTATTATCTATTATGGATTATTAAATGTATATTCTTTTTATTAAAGAATATTGGTGGATTGATATTTATTACAAAGTATATTTTTGGAAAGTGTGACAAGAATGACTTTGGGAAAAACTTAAAGTTTTTCATAATATATTTTTACGTCTCGAGAGAAACACGAGGCGTGGGTGATTAGGACTACTACTAATTTTGGTGAAATTTATTTGGGTCGGTAACCAGTCCGGCAATGACATGCTCCGGTAGACATCCCGGGCTTTTATTTGAGGACCAAAGGTCCTTTGGTGGTTGTAGTAGTAGTTACCTAATTTATCCCTGGACAATGTCCCTTGTGAGTAGGTGGTAGAAAACATCCTGCCTACTTGGATTTGTTACTACTCGGAGGGCTTGGAATCCCTTTTAGAGGGTGTGCACACTTAAGGTAGAAATTCAGCTTCCAAATTGGTGGTCGGTGGGAGCCGGAATTCCAGGATGAGTCGTAAATAACAACGACCCGTTGGGCTCGAGGAATCTTGAGTTTCGCCCACTCTTAAAAGAAATCTAAAGTATTACTTTTGGAGGAATTGAGGAATGACATTATCTATTGAAGAAATTATTTTGAGACATGAAGTTATTTTGGAGATATGAGAGGGTATTTTCTATATATATACCTATACCAAACCTATTTTCCAAATTATATTATTTTACGGGTTCGGGTGGAATATTACTTAGCTCTAAAGCTAATTTTTGTGTCTTTTGTCTTCTTCTCTTTTCTCTATTGTACAGATGATTATGATTATGAAGATTGATGTACTTGCTGCCTGAGTGTTCCGCTAGTTGCACACGTTTGATTAATTATCGTTGTTTAAATTTGTAATTCATAAACTTTGTCCTAAGAACCATTTCATTGTTATTTGAACTTATGGTGGATAGCCTGTGCACTCAATCATGTATAGGTTGAGTGTGGCGGTGATGCACCTGTTTTTCCCTTAAAGACTTCCGTTGTATTCTAAATATGTTTAATAGTAAAGATGGTTTCATTTAAAAATGTGATTTTATTTGGGTGGGAAAAATGGGGGTGTTACAATCCCGGGTGGCAACTAGGCTTGAAGAAGATGCGGAGTGCTTCTTAAGTGCTAAGGACTAAGGCATTGTAACTGTTAACTTACAAGCTTAGTGGAACAGTGGACTAGTGGAACACGTTGTTCCTTGAACCACTATAAAAATCCCCGGTGTCACTTACTTTATGCATTTACTTTCTGCACTTTAGACTTTGACTGCATAACTCAAAAGGTTGGACTCTGTGTCTAGCAGATCTTCCTTGAGAGTTATCAGAAATGCATTTGCCTTAGTGTTTTTCCTGAGGCTACCCGGACAGAAACCAATCCGTTGCCAGGTCTAGCTCTGCCATCAGAACTTGACCTTCTCTGTCACCAGATTTCGACCTTCTCTGATAAGTCAGTATTGACTTAGAGATTTTTTTTGAAAATCCTGAACAGTCTATTCACCCCCCCCCCCCCCCCTCTAGACTGTTCCTAATATAAAAGGGACCAACAAGTGGTATCAGAGCCTCCTCGTTCTTGTAATCTTGTAGGTTATTTGCTGAACAGAGATCCACTTGTTTTAGCCTTTTAATCTCTTATTATGGATAACACTTTGTCAAATAATTTGATGTTCTCAGTTACCAAGTTTGATGACTGGAAGATACGCATGAAAGCCCATCTCTGCGCACTACACGATGAAATGTGGGAAGTCCTAGATGCAGATCCTTTCACTGAGTTCACCAAAGTAAATCCTGAGTATTCTGCTGACAGTGGTCAACCCCAAATGATCACTCAGCTTCACCATGAGTGGTCTAATGAAGAAAGAAGGAAGTACAATCTTGATAACATAGCCAAGGACATTTTGTACAAGGCCATTGATGACAAATACTTCACAAGGATCAAGAAGTGCACATCTGCCAAAGCTATCTGGGATACTCTTACCCTGATAGGAGCTCGGGATGAGCAGGAGAAATACAACAAGCTCACAATTGCCATGAAGAAGTTTGAAGACTTCAAACTTCTCCCCAAGG